TCCTTACATCAGCTCCACAGGGAGTGTCAGCAATGCTGCTCCCTCTGCACACACAAAAACACAGAATGTCACAAATTCAACTACAAAATGTGTGTGACATTATATCACTGAGACACAACAACTTAGTCCAGCAAAAATGTCATCACATCGGGACATGTGCAAGCGAGAATCTTACTAAGAAAACACAAAATCTGATTGCCACTTCCTAATGTATGCGTGAAAAGTAGCAACTGTGTCACCGGAACAGGAAGAAAAAGGAAATCTATCCTAAGGGGACACAGCGATAACCTGACAGAGGATCCAACAACCTCCAGTTGGAGTACGAGTTCAGCTAAAGCTTGCCACACACCTATACATTTTCTGCAGATTCCCCCATCTACACTAAACTGTGTGGATGGAGGAATCTCCCGCTGGGCCAAGCTTCAGTATCTTGCTAGTCGGCCCCGCTGGCTCTCACAATACCTGACCAATGCCTCCATCCAATCAGATTGTTCAAGTACTTTGACAGCCAGCGGGGCCGACTAGCAAGATACTGAAGCTTGGCCCAGCGGGAGATTCCTCCATCCACACAGTTTAGCGTAGATGGAGGAATCTGTTGCACTTTTTCCATCTGACCACAGAAAGTCTGCAGAAAATCTATAGGCGTGTGGTCAGCTTTAGGGACAACCATGGCCCGGCCACGCATAGTCTACTACAGGTTACAAGTTGTAATGAAAACCGCGGACTATGGAGGCACATTCCAACAATGTTCTAGGTCAGCGTTTTTCAACCACTGTGCCGCGGCACACTAGTGTGCCGTGAGATATTTTTGGGTTGCTTCCCTTCTCACCACCCCCCATCTACAGGGAAGTGGTGGCAAGACATACCTACCTATTCTGCCCGGCTGGTCCCCGCCGATCGTCCTCATACATTCACCCCTAGATGCTTGTATGCGACAGGTAGGATGGGCAGGAGAGGAGGACCCTGCATTCACTTCCCACAGGTGACCATATGTACATAGAGACCTGTTCTCACCCCTTGTTTGGGTTTGTTTCCTCAGCATGTTTCCATTTCCTCCCAAAATCCAGCAATAGTTCCTGGTAGCTTAAATGAGGACTACGTGGTTAGGGCTTTTCCCCATAGTTCTCCTTAGGGTAACGGGAGGACACAAACTAGCGTCCTCCCGTCACCCTAAGCTCAGTATACCGCGAGCTACAGCCCGCGGTATACTGAGACGCCGCAGCTGAAGCGGATCACGACAATTATGTCTGGATCCGCCCAGCTGCGTGAGTGACAGCTGGCTCTGCCTATCTAAAGGCAGAGCCAGCTGTACCCGCCCCCTCCCCCGTCCCTTCCACCAGTCAGCGCTGGCGGATTGGAGCGTGGAGCGGGGAATCCAGCCCCTCCCCTGTCACGGCAGAGAGCTGTGACAGGATCGAGAGGTGAGCGAGCGCGCGTATGTGTTCGCTCACCTCCCGATCTACTGAGCCGACCTGTGACAGTCTCATTGTCACAGGTCGGCTAGAACTATGAGGATGAATGAAAAGCACTCGCCTCATAGTTCTCCTTTAAAACTAAACTCCAGTTAGATATATGGTGGTCCTGTGGACCTGAAGGATAACCAGGCTGCCTATGTGCTGTGATCGTTAGGTCATCATTAAATGTATTTTTCTTTTGACGCAAGCAGAGTAAGTGTCCAAATCGGACTTGGCATCTGCCTCTGAAAGTCCCTGTACAGCCGAGCTCAGACCGGGAGAAGAAGCAGCACAAGGAGTCAGTCGGTTGTGCTACTGTGCCGATAGAAGAAGAGAGCAGAGTGACAGAGAGATGCGCTCATCAGTCTGCTGCCTCACCTTTCATTGTCCAATCACAGGCTGGAGGAGGGACAAGACCTGTAAGTGTTACTGAACTGTAGCAGAGCTTTCAACACGCTCCAAGCAGTGCTGAAGCTTAATAACAGCTCAGTCAACACTCCCATTAAAGCGGCATTAAAGTCAAAAACTTTTTTTCTCTCCCCCCCAATGTTAATCAAAACACTTACCTTAAATGATGTCTCTTAATCCAATCTTCTTCTTCTTTCCTGTAGTTTTCAGCCGTCTCTCCCGCAGTGCGGCGGTTCTCCGATCCAGCGCCGACTCCTCTGTCCTTGCTGGCACTTCCTGTCCCACGGTGTCTGCATGCAGGTGCACGCCGTCCATAGACTTACCTTGCGTCTCTCCTATTCCCTCGGCCGAAAACCTGAATCCATGGTTGTTTCCCTTCTCTTTGCTGCTCTTCCTTTTAAATCCTCATGTCTTCTCATGCTGGGGGAGAACTTCCCTTTGCAGCTCAGGGCCTCTTCCTGTAGTGCTGGCTCAGGTTACAAGCCTATACAAACCTATACACAGACACCATGTATCCATTCCAGAGACAAGGCAGTCTGCTGCAAAACAGAAGTTCTCCCCAAGCATGAGAAGACATGAGGATTTAAAAGGAAGAGCAGCAAAGAGAAGGGAAACAACCATGGATTACAGTAAGGCACACATTACAGTATTGGTTTATGTTAATAAATCTGAGGGTTTAATGTCACTTTAAGTTCAGCACACTTTAACATCACAGATATTTAGCTATAGCTCCTTCAGAACCAGATCTGCCATGTTTGGGATAAATTTAGCGTTTTCCTCAACCAGAAACATCGACCCTCGTCTGACTGTCCCCTGATGTCTACAGGCAGCTCCGCTGAACATAAGCAGACGCAGGAGGAATGGCACTGCCATACAGAGGCATATGAAACTCTATTCTGCATGCTTGCAAGGTCACTTGAAATGTCAAAGGTCACCCAAGTGCCATCCACAAGGTTAGGACAAGAGCAGCCGTCTCACTGTGATCAGCTGTTCGCTTTGAGCTGTTCTTCTGCGTGCGTCCTCTGAGTGGCGGGACGGTCTGCGGTCTCCAAGAGCTATGACCATGGCCGCAAAGAGACAGCTGTCCTTTCCATTCCCAACTCATATGTGGTATCAGCCCTGAGAGTGACACGAAGATTAGAATTATTGTTACATATTTATTAATATTGTTACACGTTTACTATAAACACTCAGATCCGAAATAAGTCTGTTGTTGATCTCACACACTCAATCTATGTATATAACGCACACATCAGACCCGTCTCCCAGCCTGTCATTGGGTCCGACGTGCTTTGTTCTATGCAGACAATAAGCGACCTGATTGGTTGCTCTTATTGCGTCGGGGGATGTAAAGGATACGCACAAGGCTATCCCAAGATCACACCGGATTCTGATATGGACCATAATCATGAATATCATATACATGAATATGCAATGGGGGGGATGCATGCAGGAATGAAGCCCCCCGACTAATCAGTATTAGTATACAGACAAATCAAATGATCCGATTATGAGCGTGTAGTATCACATATTACTCATACAACCAATTTCCAAGGTAGAGCCCCCTGAGCCCCTCTGATCACTGCAGCCCCCAATATCTGCCCTCTCCATGTCTCAGGCTCACTACAAATGCATTCTTTCTACTGTAACCACAAAAGTTACAATAAGCCCCCCCCTATATTTCTGCAACTGCTATAATAAATCTTCCAGATCATTTGCATCCCAGGGAATTGCATTCAAATAACACAAATCCATATTATTAGATCTTCATCTCACAGATCCTCATGATTGCAAAGCCTAGACTATCCCTGATCACTGCAATATAAATCCCCCCAACCCCCTCCCCCCACCAAGTTATGACAATCCATGCGTCTTAGGTTCTAAAAATACACAACCACATCCCTTACCTGGAGTATTTCTGCACAAATCAAAGCACTTCACTAAAAGATTTTACCAGCCCTGCCACACCCCCCTGACCAGACTACACACATGATCAAGCCCCCCAAATGCAATGACTTTAATCCTTATTGCACCACTTAGGTTATCTCCTCCCTACTAAAGCCCCCAAAATCAAAAATGTTTAGCTTTAAACTCAGGCGTCAAACTCCCCTTAGCCCCTCAGTTCATTGAAGATTAACAGTTCAAGATGATTGCACCCCTAGATACTGCACCCTTATCCCATCTGCAGGATTTTGCACCCCAAGCCCTTCTCAAGAATAATGCACTCTCTGCCCCTCTCCAGGAGTTCTGCATATCTATCTCCTCTTCATGATATTGCACTTGTGTCCCCTCTCCAAGATATTGCACCCCAAACCCTTCTCTATGATATTGCACTTCTAAATCCTCCTGGTTATTGCAAAGTCCTCCTCTCCCCAAAATAATGCACCTCTCCATACCCCTATCCCCTCAAGATCACACCCCACATTCTCCAGGTTATGGCTCCCTGATCAGAGAAGCCTGGTTGTTACACCCTTATTGCACATATCCAATTGTTGCTCTCCTAGATACCCCAGATCATTCCACCCCTATTTCCTCCCCCAAAGTATTGGCCCTTAGATCCACCCCCCTTAATACACCTCTATTCAAAATATTGCACCCAGG